TTTTATACAGAAGACGAAAAATATGATGTTGATTTAGCAATAGAAATTTCACAAGGTCTCAGGGAAGAACTTATCTCCAATACACCAGAAGATTACATTAAAATTTATACTGGTATTAATTTTTTTCATTTCTCATTGATTATAATTCAGAATTATTTGGTTTATCTACAATAATCTATTGTTTGTTTTTTTTTCAGAATGTTGGAATGGCGAACCTGATAATCGTCCAACTATAAATCAAGTAGTAGAAAGATTAAAGGAAATTATAACAAAAACGAACATAAAAACAGAAAATAATATTAGCGTTTCTTTGAATACTGATAATTCATTACATGGGGAAATGTCTCAAATTATACAAAATTTTAATAAGATGAATACAAAGGAAATTGTACCCGCAAACATAATAATTGAAAATTGTTCATTTGAAAAAGTTAATGATATTGTAAATTATATTTTCAAAATAGTTAATGAAGGAAAAGAATTTACATTAACCAAAAATATTAAAAATATTCTTGTTTATTTTAATAATAATAATACAAGTTCACAAGAAATTTATAATTGGTTATTAATTAATCAAAATAATTTAGATTCTATATTTTTACTTGGATATTTTAATTATTTAGGAATTGAAACAAGTGAAGATAATAAGAAAGCATTTGATTTATTTATTAATGCATCAGAGCAAGGTCATATATTAGCGCAATTATATGTTGGATCATGTTATCAAACTGGTTACGGAACTACAAAGGATGAAAAGTTAGCTTTAAAATATTACGAAAAAATAGCAAATATGGGTTATGCATCAGGTTTATTAAAAGTTGGATATTGTTATGATTCTGGAATTGGAACTAGTGTTAATTATCAAAAAGCAATTGAATTATATCAACAGGCAGAAAGTTTAGGAAATATTGTTGCTCAATATAATATTGGTACCATGTATGCAAATGGAAGAGGTGTTGATAAAGATTATAACAAAGCTTTTGAATTATATCAGCAGGCAGCAAATTCTGGAGATAATAATGCTCAACATGGTCTTGGCCTTTTGTATGAATATGGAATGGGAATTAAAAAGGATATAAGTGAAGCGATTTGCTGGTATGAGAAATCTGCTAAACAAGGAAATCAACGTGCTCAAAAAAAACTAGAAATATTAAGATATAAATAATCAAGCTTATTTATTTAGTAATAAATACATTATTAAATAGTTAATTATATGGTACATATACATGCATATTATTAATAGCACTACATTATTTAAATTGCGCCAAATGAGTTGCATACATGAGTTTGAGACTTGAGTAGACGTAATCTCAATAATAGTATTTTTACTTTTATTAGACACGTGATGCTTTAAAAAAGCATAATTATGGATAATTTATTCTTTGAGCATCCATATCTTAACTAAAATAAATAACGTTACGTTCATTTTTTCTTTATTGTCAATAATTTCATTCTACACTTAAACGTCAAATCTTTAATATAAATAACTACATTATTATAAATATAATTGGGAATTGCTAAACGTTTCCTGGGCGATTGTCGCCTGGATTTTTTTTAAATATGTCACATGATGTACAATAAATAAAGAATAAATTTATTGATCTGATTTTTTCAAACTAGCTAATTTTTGATCGGCTAAACTTAAAAATTTTATCGCAAACATCTATTTTAAAAAAAAAATTTTTTTTGCAAGCATATTTATCCAAAATAATCTTATCTTTTCTTTTATTTGTATCACTTCATTAAAAAATAAATACAGTGATTTTTTTCTTTAAAATCGTAAATGTGTGATTTAAAATTTAATATTTACAAATAAAATTTTATTAGATAAGTAAATTACAATGATCAAGAAAAAAGATGCTAATAAAAAATGAAATAACAATGGAGTAATGAGAAGTAATAGAAGATAAAAGGGAGTAAAAAAGAGTAATGAGAAGTGTTAGGAAGCAAAAAGGAGAAATAGGACATGATGGAAGATGAAGAGGAGTAATAGGAAGATGAAGAGGAGTGATGGGAGACGAAAAGAAGTGATGAGAAACAAAAAGAAATGATGGGAAGTAAACAGGAGAGAAAAAGAAATAATGGAAAATGAAAAGATGTAATAGAAAATAATGGGATACGAAAAGGATGTAATAATAAGAAGTAATAGGAGGTGAAAAATGATGAGAGATAAAAAATAAAAAAAAAATCATGATACGAGGTTGGGTAGCAAAAGATAATGATAGGAAACCAAGTAATAAAATAAATCATAAAGTAAAAAAAATGAAGTTAGTAAGAAACGAAATATAAGATAGAAACAAAATAAATAAAATAAATAAAAAATAAAAACATACCTTTATTAATTGTAGAACCGGAAGGACTAAAAGACCTAAAAATAATGAAATAGAGTTAGTAGGAAACAAAGTGTAAGGATGTAAGTTAGAAATAAAAATAAAAAGAAAAAAAGAAAAATACCTCGAGACTGAAATAACTGAGAAAATGAACCTTGAACCTATAATGAAAATGAGATTCTATAAACAAATAAATATGACAAATCTGCCATATGATCGAAGACCCAGGCGATGTTTACCAATTTCCAATATAATTTATACCATTCTAATATTATAATTATAATTTTAGTACATATTATTTTGTTAACTAATTATTACCTATATTAAATTCTAATTATAAACAAAAAACTGCTGTAACCATCTTTAATTTACTTAGTATTACATTATAATACTAAAATTTCTATTTAAACAAACTTATTGGTCCCGGTGCGGAGCAACGGGTAACTGCTAGTTACCGACTGAAAAAATAGTTAAATAATTTTTTTTTGCTCATACTATATCTAATTTGGTAGTAGTTAATGCCGGCCAAAATTATATATTTAATTTTTGCGACGGTCACGTGAATATCTTTGATAAGTCGACTTCATCCATCCCAAATTACAACAATATTACCGTTACTACTGCTACTACTTATTACTTTTAAACCCATTCGATATGAATTTTATGATCTTTACTAGATGATTTTTTACCATAATAATAATAATCTACACATGGTTTCGTTATTGTATAATTATTTATAACTCCATGATTAAATTCTTTATATTTCATAATTAATTTCTCAATATGATACGGATTTCCATGATTATATAAAATAACCTTTAATAGAAATTTTTCACATACCAAATTTTTGAGTGAACTCTCAAAAATTGATCATTTAAAATTTTGATATCATAATTATTAACATTATTATAATTAATAATATAACTATATAAATTATTATAATAATTAGTATTATCATCAATATAAAATTTCGTTAATTCTAATGTTTTAAGATTTTGAATCTTTTCGATATATTAAGAAATGTTAATAATGAGATTGATCAAAGATGTATGATTAAGATAAGTATATTAAATAAAGAATTTGTTTCAAAAAAAATCCGAATGAGATGATTTAATTGATTTAATTCCAATCTATTTAATATTATTTTGAATAATGAATGATAAAAAATATGTATTCATATTTTTCATATTCAAATCTTCATCTAAAAGATTAATTTTTCCAAATCTGTAAGGAATATTATTCGATCTTATAAAATCCTCACCAAAGAGTATTGACTCAATATTTTTTTAAAGTGTAATTTTCTAATCTTAGAATATATACTATTTAATTACCCTTTTCAAAATTAGTGTACCCCTAAATATCACCTCTAAAAAAAATGATTTCCAAAAATTTGCGATTATACTATGCAATTTTATTGTATCATTATGCAGAAAAGGGTTGATTATTAGTGATTCTGAAAGAATTTGAATGGTTTTCTCGATTTTTAAAGTAGTAGTTTCCTTGTTAAAAACATTTGTATTACATAAGATTTTAAATTTTGTTTATAATGAAACTACTCTAAGGATTGAGAAAATCACCAAAATTCTTCCAGAATCACTAATAATCGACTCTTTTCTGTATAACGATACAATAAAATTGACTATAATCGCAAATTTTTGGAAATCATTTTTTTTTAGGTGATATTTAGGGGGTACACTAATTTGAAAAGAGCGATAATTTCAAATATAGCTGAATAAACATTCGCGAAATTAATAAGTGAATCGATATTGTTAATTAAAAAAAAAATTTGATATATAAATTCGCGATTTAATAATCTAACTTGTATCATTAATAAAAAAGTGTTCATAATTCAGGCCAGAATTAGAAAATTTGGCCAAGATTATAAAATGAAATTACGAATCACGTTAAACACGGTGGCTTTGTTTGTACTACTATTGTGTATGTATAACATTACCAAGCTATTTAAAAGAAAAAATCCATAAAGTAGTTTCGTCTCCTTTCGATCATTTATTTCACCTACGATTACTAATAATATCAAAATGCAAAACACAAAAAATGCAAATGAATGGGTGAATTGGATTGAAGAATCTATATCTAAGGAATATTATAGATTTTATGAATTTGAACATTTTAGTAATATCCAAATAATTGGAACTGGAGGGTTCGGAAAAGTTTATCGTGCAAGTTGGAAAAATTCCGAACAATATTTAGCGTTGAAGTCTTTTTTTAATATTGATAACGTCACTGCAAAAGAAATTGTTCATGAGGTACTGTATAAATTATGAATTAATACTTTAATATACATAATATGTGCTCATTTAATTATTTAAATTTATATTTATAATATTTAATATTCCAGCTTAAGCTTCAGCGTGATATACAATTTCATAATAACATTATTAAATTTTATGGAATTGCAAAATTTGATCCAGGTAGGTAAATAAAATAAATCATATTCTAATACGTTGTTTGATTTTTAAAAATATATTTTAATAAAATTACTATTTCTTTTATTTATAATTAGAAAATGATAACGTTCAATCAAAAAATTATTTACTAGTTATGGAGTATGCTGATTCTGGTCCACTTAAAAATTATTTAAAGGAAAACTTTAATATTCTTACTTGGAATGATAAATACAACTTAGCATACCAATTAGCTTGTGCCGTTTCATGTAAACATAACGAAGGCATCGTGCATCGTGATTTGGTAATTTACTTTATTATTAATTAGAAAAGTGTCATTATAAATTATTTTCCATATTTTTTAATATTATAACGTATTTACAGCATTCTGGCAATGTTTTGGTCCATCAAAACACTATCAAGTTGTCCGACTTTGGGTTGTCAAAGAGAATTGAATCATCATCCAATGCACAATCAAAATTTTTTGGAATAATTCCTTACGTTGATCCGAAAAAATTTAGCGGGCGAAGAAGGAATAGAAACTCAACACAAATATTCTCATTAAATGAAAAAAGCGATATCTATAGCGTTGGTGTTTTATTCTGGGAGATTTCTAGTGGTCAATTTCCCTTTTATACAGAAGGTGAACAATATGATGTTGATTTAGCAATAGAAATTTCACAAGGTCTTAGGGAAGAACCTATCCCTAATACACCAGAAGATTATATTAAAATTTACACTGGTATTAATTTTTTCTTTAATAAAAATTTCATTAACCTTCCTCATTAATTACAATTTAGGTTTATTTGGTTTACTTACAATATATTATTGTTTGTTTTTTAGAATGTTGGAATGGCGAACCTGATAATCGTCCAACTATAAATCAAGTAGTAGAAAGATTAAGGGAAATTATAACAAAAACGAATATAACAACAGAAAATAATATTAGCGCTTCTTTGAATACCGATAGTCATGGGGAAATGTCTCAAATTATACAAAATTTTAATAAAATGAATACAAAGGAAATTGTACCCGCAAACATAATAATTGAAAATGATTCATTTGAAATAGTTAATAATATTGTAAATTATATTTTCAAAATAGTTAATGTAGGAAAAGAATTTACATTAACCAAAAGTACTAGAAATATTCTTGATTATTTTAATAATAATAATATAAATTCACAGGAAATTTATGATTGGTTATTAATTAATCAAAATAATTCAGATTCTATGTTTTTACTTGGATATTTTAATTATTTAGGAATTGAAACAAGCGAAGATAATAAGAAAGCATTTGATTTATTTATTAATGCATCAGAGCAAGGTCATATATTAGCACAATTATATGTTGGATCGTGTTATCAATCTGGTTATGGAACTACAAAAGATAAAGAGTTAGCTTTAAAATATTACGAAAAAATAGCAAATCTAGGTTATGCATCAGGTTTATTAAAAGTTGGATATTGTTATGATTGTGGAATAGGAACTAGTGTTAATTATCAAAAAGCAATTGAATTATATCAACAGGCAGAAAGTTTAGGAAATATTGTTGCACAATATAATGTTGGTACTATGTATTTAAATGGAGAAGGTGTTGATAAAGATTATAACAAAGCTTTTGAATTATATCAGCAGGCAGCAAATTCTGGAAATTGTAATGCTCAACATGGTCTTGGCCTTATATATGAATATGGAATGGGAATTGAAAAGGATATAAATCAAGCGATTTATTGGTATGAAAAATCTGCTAAACAAGGATATAAGAAAGCTCAAAATGCATTGGAAATAATCAAGCTTTCTTTTTAAATACATTATTAATTATTTGGTTAATTATATGGTACATGACTACATGCATATTATTTATTAATAGCACTACTTTATTTAAACTGCGTCTAAAAGATGAGTAAACGTAATCTCAATAATAGTATTTTTACTTTTATTAAACACGTGAAGCTTTAAAAAAGCATAATTATAGAGTTGTTTATCACTTCTTAAATTTATTAATTTATTCTGAGCATCCATATCTATAACTGAAATAAAAAACGTTGCATTTATTTTTTCTTTATTGCCAATAAAATTGTATAAAAAAAATTATAAATATGGTAAATATGATTATTTTTTTTGTACTACATTGCCGACTGAAAAAAATAATACACGTACTATAGCCAAAATAATTTTTTGCACTTATTTACAGCAATTCATGTAAGTTAATGCCGGCCAAAATTATATATTTAACTTCACGTGAATATCTTTGATAAGTCGTCATCCGAAGTACTCTTTTTAAACGTTATGATCTTTACTAGATGATTTTTTACCTTTTTACCTAATAATAATAATCTACACATGGTTTCACTATTGTATAATTATCTATAACTCTATGATTAAATTCTTTATATTTCATAATTAATTTTTCAATATGATACGGATTTCCATTATATAAAATATAATAACCTTCAATAGAAATTTTCACATACCAAGATTTAAAATGTCATTTAAATTTTGAGTGAACTCTCTTAAAAATTGATCATTTAAAATTTTGATATCATATTTATCACTATTATAATTAATATAAACTATTATAAATTATTATAATAATTATCATCAATATAGAATTTCGTTAATTCTAATGTTTTAAGATTTTAGAAATGCTGATAATGAGATTGATCAAAGATGTATGATTAAGATAAGTATACTAAATAAAGAATTTGTTTCAAAAAAAATCCGAATGAGATGATTTAATTGATTTAATTCCAATCTATTTAATATTATTTTGAACAATGAATGATAAAAAATATGTATTCATATTTATCATATTCCAAATCTCCATCTAAAAGATTAAATTTACTTATTTTTCCAAATCTGTAAGGAATATTATTCGATCTTATAAAATCCTCATCAAAGAATTGTTATACAATTCGTATCGTTTCCTTTCACGTCACGAAAATCATAATAATAATCCCAAACTACTTTAGGATTAATTATTTAATGCATCAGTCAATTTGGGCGAAGATTACTAAACCAAATTTAATTATTATGACGTGATGTTTTAAATTTTAATATAAAGACCGCTCAAATAAAACATTAATAAAGTTTGTATAAATTTTACTAAGTAAATCGTAAATATATTTTAATCAACTTAACATTAAAAGATCCTTAAAAGTTATTTTATTACATTCTAACTATCCTATTGGTCCTCCGAAATAGTTCATATACGGTAATAGTTTATTGATGGTCCGTCGTGCTTATAAATTTAAAATTTCGTAATAAAATCAGATTTTTATACAATCTAGTTTTGCAAATATATTCTTTTCCAAGCTGATCTAAAGACTTAAAGACTTCTAAATTTCGCGAATTATCTAAATAATATTAAAGATATTTAAAGTTCTATTTACGCATTTATCGAAAATATAGTATGTTTCCTAATAAAATCTGGCTCAACTGCTAAGATACCGACTGAAATCAAAATTATTTGATATTCCAAATTGGTATATAAAGATCTACTTATTCATAATTAAGATTGGTCTCTATATGAGGATATCGAATGTAGCAATTGATGGCCACTAGTTGTTACTGCCCTGTTCAATTGTTACTGTCCTGTAAAGAGTCTTTATGTGTGAGATAAATCGAATAAACATGTATCCTTAATAATGGCTAAAATTAATAATTCCGGATCACGGTAGTTCTATATTTCTATTATCAATAAATAATTAAATATACGATTCGTTAATCTCTGCAATTCAGTAAAATATTATTTAACTCAAGAATTTTTTAAAGTGTAATTTTCTAATCTTAGAATATATATTTAATTAATTTCAAATATAGCTGAATAAACCTTAAACATTCGCGAAATATTAGTGTTAATAAGTGAATCGATCTTGTTGAGAAAAAAAAATTGGTATATAAATTCGCAATTTAACTTGTACTACAATAATCATATTAGCTAAAAATAACATATTTTTTCGAAGGTGCACTAACTGCGCTTCTTTCATTAATGAAATAATGTTCATAATTCAGGCCAGAATTAGAACTTGGCCAAGATTATAAAATGAAATTACGAATCACGTTAAACACGGTGGCTTTGTTTGTACTACCAAACTATTTAAAAGAAAAAAAATCCATAAGTAGTTTCGTCTCCAATAATATCAAAATGCAAAACACAAAAAATACAAATGAATGGGTCAATTGGATTGAAGAATCTATATCTAAAGAATATTATAGACTTTATGAACAAAAACATTTTAGTAATATTCAAAAAGTTGGAATTGGAGGATTCGGAAAAGTTTATCGTGCGAGTTGGAAAAATTCAAAATATTTTGCGTTGAAATCTTTTTTTAATCTTGATGACGTTACAGCAAAAGAAATCGTTCATGAGGTATAAATTTAGATGATCACATATATATTATGAATATTAAAATGTTATTCTTATTCTTATTTCATAGTAATTTATATTTATGATATTAACATTTTAGCTTAAACTTCAACGTGATATACAATTTCATAATAACATTATTAAATTCTACGGAATTGCAAAATTTGACCCGGGTATAATAAAATTTTATTAATATTTTAATGTTGCTTGATTTTTACAAAAATGTATTTTAATAAGAAATGATTATTTTTTTTATTCATAATCCATACTTAGAAAATGATAACGCTCAATCAAAAAATTATTTACTAGTTATGGAGTATGCTGACTCTGGTCCTCTTAAAAATTATTTAAAGGAAAACTTCAATAATCTTACATGGAACGATAAATACAACTTAGCATAACAATTAGCCTGAGCCGTGTTATGTTTACATAATGAAGGAATAGTGCATCGTGATCTGGTAATTTACTTTATTAAGTACAAAAGTATTATTATTTTTTTTCCATATTTTTTAATATCATCATGTATTTGCAGCACTCTGGTAATATATTGGTCCATCAAAACACTATCAAGTTGTCCGATTTTGGGTTGTCAAAGAGAATCGAATCATCATCCAATACACAATCAAATCCTTTTAGAATAATTCCTTACGTTGATCCAAAAAAATTTAGCGAACAAAGAAAGAATAAAAACTCAACACAAATATTCTCATTAAACGAAAAAAGCGATATTTATAGCGTTGGTGTTTTATTCTGGGAGATTTCTAGTGGTCAACCTCCATTTTATACAGAAGACGAAAAATATGATGTTGATTTAGCTATAGAAATTTCACAAGGTCTCAGGGAAGAACATATCTCCAATACACCAGAAGATTACATTAAAATTTATACTGGTATTAATTTTTTTTATTAACCTTTCATTTCTCATTAATTATAATTTAGAATTATTTGGTTTATCTACAATAATCTATTGTTTTGTTTTTTTTTTCAGAATGTTGGAATGGCGAACCTGATAATCGTCCAACTATAAATCAAGTAGTAGAAAGATTAAAAGAAATTATAACAAAAACGAACATAACAACAGAAAATAATATTAGCACTTTTTTGAATACTGATAATTCGTTACATTGGGAAATGTCTCAAATTATACAAAATTTTAATAAGATGAATATAAAAGAAATTGTACCCGCAAACATAATAATTGAAAATAATTCATTTGAAATAGTTAATGATATTGTAAATTATATTTTCAAAACAGTTAATGAAGGAAAAGTATCTACATTAATCAAAAATACTACAAATATTCTTGATTATTTTAATAATAATTATATAAATTCACAGGAAATTTATGATTGGTTATTAATCAATCAAAATAATTCAGATTCTATATTTTTACTTGGATATTTTAATTATTTAGGAATTGAAACAAGTGAAGATAATAAGAAAGCATTTGATTTATTTATTAATGCATCAGAGCAAGGTCATATATTAGCACAATTATATGTTGGAACATGTTATCAATTAGGTCATGGAATTACAAAAGATGAAAAGCTAGCTTTAAAATATTACGAAAAAATAGCAAATATGGGTTATGCATCAGGTTTATTAAAAGTTGGATATTGTTATGATTGTGGAATAGGAACTAGTGTTAATTATCAAAAAGCAATTGAAATATATCAACAGGCAACAAATTCAGGAAATTTTATCGCCCAAAGTAATATTGGTGTCATGTATGAAAGTGGAAATGGTGTTGATCAAGATTATGATAAAGCTTTTGAATTATATCAACAGGCAGCAAATTCAGGAAATTACTTAGCTCAATATAATCTTGCTAATATGTATAAGCGTGGAATGGGAATTGAAAAGGATATAAATCAAGCGATTTATTGGTATGAGAAATCTGCTAAACAAGGATTTCAAAATGCTCAAAATACATTGAAAATAATCAAGCTTGTTTATGATTTAAAATTGAAATACATTAATAAATAATCTTAGTTAAATATAATGTACACGCATATTATTAATAGCACTAGTACTTTATTTAAACTGCACCCAAAAATGATACGCATACATGAGTTTGAGACTTTGAGTAATTTTTTATTTTTATTTTTATTTTTAGAAAACAGAAAATCAAACCCGTAGATTCAATTATACAGAGAACCTAAAAAGTCTATATATAATACAATCACTACGAAGCAAGCCACCCCAAGGCGTGACGCTTTCTGTTCTTTATGGAATAGGTGAACGCGAGTCAGAACCACGAACTTTCCCAGGAACACCCGCCAAAAGAGAAAAAAAAGAAAAAAAAGAAAAAAAGAGAAACAAGAACAATTTTACCAAAATTCCAAGAAAAAAAAACAAGAAAAATTAATAAAACCCGTATTTTGCTTTCAGCCCTAAGGCTGCCACTTGTCAATACTGTCATAAGTGGAATGGTTCACACTATTTTAAATTGTTTAATAAATATACAAACGTGCATGATGACGTAAGGGTAATTCATAGACGCCAAAATGAAGAATGTAAAATAGGAAAAAAGTGTTTAAGACTCATTACATGAACAATATACATATATAGAATAAGAAAAACTAAATTAATTAGAATTAAGACTAGAAAATAGGGAGTCGGTAGGGAAACTATTCGCTGGTCTTGATCGTTTGTGGTCATGTGATTGTGACGAAGAGGAAGGATAGGACAAAGTGTCCCTCTTGTTAGGTCAGTATTCCACCGATTAAGTTTCATCTGAGGTGTATGAAGGTAAACCAAAGAGATCTATATGGTATTCAGCCGGGTGACAAGGCCGAGGAGAGTACGGTATGCACGTATAGTCGTAGTAATCTTGATATTTTTCCACCCATTTCTTCCACTTGCGATGTTGTTTCTTTTTGCAAGGCATTGGAGGAGGTGGGGGTTGATTCATCTGCTCGTGAAATCCATTAGTATGAACCGTCAGTTGTCGAGTTGATATTCCTCGACGATAATAATGTTTAAGTGTGGTGCCCATACCGTTAGCGGCGGATGAGTCGTAATCTAAAGGGTTAGACCGACGTATATGGGTAGTCGGGGGTAAGTCAGGTTCAAAGGGGTTGTATTGCAAATAATAACTACTGTTCACTTTAGACGGGTCTACGGGATTATAACCATAGTATATAGTGCTACGAGGAAGTGGTTCTAACGAATCCATGAGAGCCTCGATTTCTGCAGCATTCAAATAATGAGGGATAGTATTAACGCCAGAAGGCCTAGATAAGGTCGAAGGTTGTGACGTAGTGCTGCAATTCGGCAGCGTGTGATGAGGTATTTTAAATCTATAATCATCAGGATCAGGTAATAATTTCTCCGTTGAAAATTTTTTGAATTTCAAATGGTGAAGAGGTGAGTAGATATGTTGTGATTCATCGAATAGGAAGCGAAAACGTCTTCCAGCTGAGAGTTTGTAATCTTTCAAAGTGCGGGAGGTAGGGTCAATAGTTTTAAGCACCCTTGCACAATGTCTCTTGAAGCGGGTTTCCTGTTTGCGCTTCGTTGCAGGATTACTGCTATGATTGAGTTTGAAATTCGAAAGGTGTTTCCTGTAAATATAGGCGCCTGGATGTTTGCGCACGAAATTAGTACTGTTAGCCACATAGCATACATTGTACTGAATGCCAAGGCGGTTGGAAAAGATCTCATTTTTCCATCGATGTTGCCAAAGATCGTATACATGATTAGCGTGTGAAGATTTTGAATTCGTATATCCTGGGTCCAATTCAGGCACAGGTTTCAAATGGTGATTAATTTTTGTTCTCGAAAATTCAGGTTGATGAGTACCACAAGCACGTCTATTTAAAGACATGACGAAAGGGCTCGGGCTATGACACCGGGTAAGAGAATTAGATAAAGCGGGTGTGCAAACATGTTCACAAGGAATGTAAATACCAAAGTGGAAGCGATAGCGCTTATAAGAAAATGAGAAGAAAGTTTTTGTATGAGTGTTCTTCAAAGTTCTATTAGAAGCACGTGACTCGATAAAGTCGATTCGATCCAGTAATTTCTGGCGAATCAAATCAAAATACTTTTGTTGAATACGTTGGGGTAAAACTTTTTGTAAGGTAAAAAAGTGTGTGAGCATTTTACTAATTTGATATTTTGTGTTAGGCAAATAGCTCGTGGATGTGTATAGAATAGGCGTAGAATCCATGTGATAATCATTGGTGTGTAAAAATAAATGAAGATTATTGGTGTCCGAGAAAAGATCAGCAAGCTCAAAAAAGAAACTTTTTGAGCGCCTGAATTCGTAAATCTTGTTATAACCGGTTCGGCGTTTTGTCATCACGTGAAATTTTTTCACAGAGACAAGGAAAGTATTTTTATGAAAATTGGACGTATTATTAAACGTTTTTGAGGGAGAAAGAAGAGGTAAAGGTAAAGTAGTCTGGTCGTTATGAACCAGCTGAACGGGAACAGATATAACATCTGTATCCATATCTCTCAAAGGTCAAGGGTAATAAAAGGAGACCTTTCCGTAGAGGCCACCAAGTGGTCCTCGCTCCTTACAAAAATATAAGTGTTTGTGAAAAAATTTATATTACTGCGGTTTGTTAACAAAAAAATCGGAAAGGGGAGAGAGTTTTTTTTTTCTTGAGACTTTGAGTAAACGTAATCTCAATAATAGTATTTTTACTTTTATTAGACACGTGATGCTTTAGACACGTGATGCTTTAAAAAAGCATCACTTCTTAAATTTATTAATTTATTCTTTGAGCAACCATATCTATAACTAAAATAAATAACGTTACGTTAATTTTTTCTTTATTGTCAATAAAATTATATAAAAAAATTATAATATAATAAATACGATTATTTTTATGTAACACATTACCGACTGAAAAACATGCAAAATAATTTTTTTGCTCATATCTATATGGTAGTAGTTAATGCCGGCCAAAATTATATTTAACTTTGGCGACGGTCACGTGAATATCTTTGATAATTCGACTTCCCCATCCCAATATTACCGTTACTACTGCTACTACTTATTGCTTTCAAACCCATTCAATATGAATTTTACGATCTTTACTAGATGATTTTTTACCTTTTTACCATAATAATAACCTACACATGGTTTCGTTATTGTATAATTATTTATAACTCTATGATTAAATTCTTTATATTTCATAATTAACCTTTCAATATGATACGGATTTCCATTATATAAAATACAATAACCTTCAATAGAAATTTTTCACATACCAAGATTTGAAATTTCATTTAAATTTTGAGTGAACTCTCTTAAAAATTGATCATTTGAAATTTTGATATCATATTTATCATTATTATAATTAATATAAACTATTATAAATTATTATAATAATTATTATCAGGCTTATTTTGAATAATGAATGATAAAAATATGTATTCATATTTTTCATATTCCAAATCTCCATCTAAAAGATTAAATTTACTTATTTTTCCAAATCTCTAAGGAATATTATTCGATCTTATAAAATCCTCATCAAAGAATTGTTATACAATTCGTATCGTTTCCTTCACGTCACGAAAATCATAATAATTCCAAACTACTTTAGGATTAATTATTTAATGCATCAGTCAATTTAGGCGAAGATTACTAAACCAAACTGAATTATTGTGACGTGCTGTTTTAATATAAGACTGCTCAAATAAAACATTAATAAAAGTCTTGTGTAAATTTTTTACTACTAGGTAAATCGTAGTATACTTTAATCAGCTTAACGTTAAAAGTTTCCTTAAAAGTTATTTTGCTACATTCTAACTATCCTATTGGTCCTCCGAAATAGTTCATATACGGTAATAGTTTATTGGTGCTTATAAATTTAAATTTTCGTAATAAAATCAGTTTTTTATACAATCTAGTTTTGCAAATATACTATTCTTTTCCAAGCTGATCTAAAGACTTCTAAATTTCGCGAATTATCAAGTTCTATTTACACATTTATCTAAAATATGTTTTCTAATAGAATCTGGCTCAACTGTTAAGACACCGACTGAAATCAACATTATTTGCGTTATTTAATATTCCAAATTGGTAAATAAAGTATCTACTTCATTATTCATAATTAAGATTGGTCTCTTTATGAGGATGTCGAATGTAGCAATTGATGGCCACGAGTTTTTACTGCACTGTTCAATTGTTACTGTCCTGCAAAGGGTCTTTATGTGAAATAAATCGAATAAAAATATATAAAGGGTAGATAATCCTTAATAATGGCTAAAATTAATAATTCTGGATTACGGTTACTCGGTTAGTTGCTCACGGTTCTATATTTCTATTGTCAATAAATAATTTAAATATACGATTCGTTAATCTTTGCAATTCTAGTAAATTTTTAACTCAAATATTTTTTTAGTGTAATTTTCTAATCTTAAAATATATATTTAATTAATTTCAAATATAGTTGAATAAACCTAAAACATTCGCGAAATATTATAGTGTTAATAAGTGAATCGATCTTGTTGATAAAAAAAAAAATTTGATATATAAATTCGCGATTTAATAATTTAACTTATACTAGCAATAATCATAGCTACTAAAAATAAGATATCATGATCATATTTTTTCCGAAGGTGCACTTCTTTCATTAATGAAATAATGTTCATAATTCAGGCCAGAATTAGAAAATTTGGCCAAGATTATAAAATGAAATTACGAATCACGTTAAACACGGTGGCTTTGTTTGTACTACTATTGTGTATGTATAACATTACCAAACTATTTAAAAGCACAAAAAATCCATAAGTAGTTTCGTCTCCTTTTCGATCATTTATTACTACGATTACTAATAATATCAAAATGCAAGACACAAAAAATACAAATGAATGGGTTAATTGGATTGAAGAATCTATATCTAAAGAATATTATATATTTTATGAACAAAAACATTTTAGTAATATTCAAAAAGTTGGAACTGGAGGATTCGGAAAAGTTTATCGTGCAAGTTGGAAAAATTCAAAATATTTTGCGTTGAAATCTTTTTTTAATTTTGATGACGTTACAGCAAAAGAAATCGTTCATGAGGTATTTATTTAGATAAGCAAATATATATTATGAATATTAAAATGTTATTTTTATTCTTATTTCATAATTTATATTAATAATTAACATTTCAGCTTAAACTTCAACGCGATATACAATTTCATAATAACATTATTAAATTCTATGGAATTGCAAAATTTGACCCAGGTATAATAAAATTTTATTAATATTTTAATGTTGCTTGATTTTACAAAATGTATTTTATTAAGAAATAATTGTTTTTTTATCCATACTTAGAAAATGATGACGTTCAATCAAAAAATTATTTACTAGTTATGGAGTATGCTGACTCTGGTCCTCTTAAAAATTATTTAAAGGAAAACTTCAATAATCTTACATGGAACGATAAATACAACTTAGCATATCAATTAGCCTGTGCCGTGTTATGTTTACATAATGAAGGAATAGTGCATCGTGATCTGGTAATTTACTTTATTAATTATTATAAAAGTATTATTATAAATTTTTTTTCATATTTTTTTAGTATCATAATGTATTTATAGCACTCTGGTAATATATTGGTCCATCAAAACACTATCAAGTTGTCCGACTTTGGGTTGTCAAAGAGAATCGAATCATCATCCAATACACAATCAAATCCTTTTAGAATAATTCCCTACGTTGATCCGAAAAAATTTAGCGAACGAAGAAAGAATAAGAACTCAACTCAAATATTCTCATTAAACGAAAAAAGCGATATCTATAGCGTTGGTGTATTATTCTGGGAGATATCTAGTGGTCAACTTCCCTTTTATACAAAAGGCGAAAAATATGATATTGATTTAGCTATAGAAATTTCACAAGGCCTTAGAGAAGAACCTATTCCCGATACACCAGAAGATTATATTAAAATTTATACTGGTATTAATTTTTTTTAAAAAAAATTCATTTCTCGTTAATTGCAATTTATGTTTATATGGTTTATTTGCAATAATATATTGTTTGTTTTTTTTTCAGAATGTTGGAATGGTGAACCTGATAATCGTCCAACTACAAATCAAGTAGTAGAAACATTAAAGGAAATTATAACAAAAACGAACATAACAACAGAAAATAATATTAGCACTTCTTTGAATACTGATAATTCGTTATATTGGGAAATGTCTCAAATTATACAAAATTTTAATAAGATGAATATAAAAGAAATTGTACCCGCAAACATAATAATTGAAGATTGTCCATTTGAAATAGTTAATAATATTGTAAATTATATTTTCAAAATGGTTAATGAAGGAAAAGTATCTACATTAATCAAAGATATTAAAGATATTCTTGATTATTTTAATAATAATAATATAAATTCACAAGAAATTTATGATTGGTTATTAATTAATCAAAATAATTCAGATTCTATATTCTTATTTGGATATTTTAATTATTTAGGAATTGAAACAAGTGAAGATAATAAGAAAGCATTTGATCTATTTATTAATGCATCAGAACAAGGCCATACATTAGCACTATTATATGTTGGATTATGTTATCAATTAGGTCATGGAACTATAGAAGATGGAAATCTAGCTTTAAAATATTACGAAAAAATAGCAAATTTGGGTTATGCATCAGGTTTATTAAGAGCTGGATATTGTTATGTTTTTGGAGTTGGAACTAATATTAATTATCAAATAGCAGTTAAATTATTTCAACAAGCAGAAAATTTGGGAAATATTAGTGCTCAACATAATTTAGCTCTCAGGTATTTTAATGGACAAGGTGTCGATAAAGATTATAACAAAGCTTTTGAATTATATCACAAGGCGGCAAATTCAGGAAATAGAAATGCTCAATATAATCTTGCTGGTATGTATGAATATGGAATGGGAATTGAAATGGATATAAATCAAGCGATTTATTGGTATGAAAAATCTGCTAAACAAGGATATAAAAAAGCTCAAAATGCATTGGAATTAATCAAGCTTTCTTTGCTTTCTTTTTAAATACATTATTAAATTATTTAGTTAATTATGTGGTATGATACATGCATATTATTTATTAATAGTACTATTTTATTTAAACTGCGTCTAAAAGATGAGTCGCATACATGAGTTTGAGTAAACATTATCTCAATAATAGTATTTTTACTTTTATTAGCAATTTTAGGTATAGAAAAAATATCTTTTTGATCCTTATGCACTTTCATTTACATCATTTCCAATTTTATACTTTCGGTAAATATTATTTAAAAAAGCATAATTATAGAGTTCTTAAATTTATTAATTTATTCTGAGCATCCATATCTATAACTAAAATAAAAAACGTTACATTCATTTTTTCTTTATTGCCATATAAAAAAATTATAAATATGGTAAATATGATTATTTTATTGTACTACATTACCGACTGAAAAAAATAATACACGTAGCTAAAATAATTTTTTGCACTTATTTACCGCAATTCATGTAAGTTAATGCCGGCCAAAATTATATATTTAACTTTGGCGACGGTCACGTGAATATCTTTGATAAGTCGTCATCCATCCTACTTGAAATACTCCTTTCCGATACCACCACTGCTACTACTTATTACTTTAAAACCCACTCAATATAAACGTTATGATCTTTACTAGATGATTTTTTACCTTTTTTACCATAATAATAACAATCTACATATAATTTCGTTATTGTATAATTACTTATAATCCTATTCCTATGATTAAATTCTTTATATTTCATAATTAATCTTTCAATATGATAAGGATTTCCATTATATAAAATACAAGATAAATTTTTTAAACATAATCTTTTATGAGACAAGATTATTTTTAAACCTTCAATAGAAATTTTCCACATACCAAAATTTAATAATTTCAAATCTTCATTTAAATTATTAGTGAAATCTCTTAAATTTTGATCATTTAAAAATTTGATATCATGAATAATATCATTATTATTATAATTATTATAATTAATATAACTATTATAATTAATAAAATTATTATAATTAATAAAGTTATTATTATAATAATTATTATCATTAATATAAAATTTCGTTAATTCTAATGTTTTAAGATTTTTAAATCTTTTCATTATATTAAGAAATGTTGAATAATAATGAGGTTGATCAATTTGTAAAAAAAGATGATTAAGATTTAAAGGACAAGAATATTCTAATATTAAAGAAGGAATTTCTTCAATAAAATTTGAAAAAGATGATGATTTGATTGATGATTTGATTTCAATTCTATTAAGATTATTCAAATGATGAATAATAAAAAGTTTGATCTCATATTCCAAATTTTCATTTTCATCCAAAAAATTAAATTTACTAATAATTTTTAAATTTTTTAAATTTTTAAAGATAATATCTTTTAAAATATTATTAGAACTTATAAAATCCACATCAATCAATTGAAATTTTTTCAACTTGTTACAATTAATAAAAAATCTTAAAAGATCATCTGAAACATTACATTTCATAATTTTTAAAGATTCCAAAGAATTCGTTATAGAACCTTCCATATCATGAAAATCATAACTTCCTTCATAATTTAATCCACTAATAGTGATTTTCGTTAAATGATTTTGATTCAATAAGAATTTCATTAATTGATGATTTTTTAAAGTGAAATCATATTTTTGTATATAAACAATTTTTAATTTAGGATTACAATTCATAATTTGATTAATTATACCAAACTTATTAATAAAACCTTTAATCTTAAATTTTTTTAATTTTGATAAACATTTTTTAGCATCATTTAAACCGAAAAGACGAATATAAAAATCATCACCTTCATCATAATCACCATTATAATTATCATCATAATTATAAACATTAATATAAATAGTATTAATTTCATCAGTATATTTTATAATAGATCTAAAAATCATTTCAGTTAAAGCCAAAATAATATTATTATTAAAAATAATATTTCTTTTTCCACAAATGATTTGAAAATATTTCCATTTATTTTCATCAACATAACTAGAATATCTATAAAAATCACTATTATAACTTAACCATAATTGAATAGAATTAAATAAAAAAGAAAAATCAATAAATTTTATAAAATGAGGATAATTAAAAATTGGTTTTTTAGGAATATAAAAAAATTCTTGATAATTATTTTTTAAAAAATTTCTTATATTTGTATTTTTAATAAAAAATAAAAGTATTGAAATAATTTTTATAGTATTAATATTTTCGATAAGATAATCTCTTATATTATCAAAATTATTTGATTTATTGGTAGTAATAAGAGATTTTTTCCATAAATAAGGAATCGAAATTTTACATAAAATTTTATTCGTTAAACAAAGATAATATAAACTTTTAAGATCATTATTTTCTTCAATTATTTTAATAATATTTTCAATAACTTCAAATGAACAAGTATTAAAAGACATTTTTCGTCATATAGATTGAGATTGAGATTATTATTATTTAAGATTGAGATTTAAGAAGATTAAATTTTATTTATGTTATTATTATAAAATTTCACGTGGCAATTCATGTTAAGATGATCACCATACACATATAGATTAATTGATACCAAAAAACAGGTAAAACTTCAATATAACCAAATTTGGGTAATAAATTTAATTGGCGTAACGTTTTATAAAAATTAAATTTAGGTTGGTACGTTGGTACCCGGGCGTAAAAAAAAAATACGAATTTAATTTTTGATGTAATTTTCATACTGCGGTATTAAAATATACTGTATAATTTCGAAATGTTCTAATAGCGAAAAATACTTTCAAATGTAAAATAAATTAAAAATATTTCTTATTCTCCTACGACTAAATAAATATATTCCTAACAAATCATCCAAATATAAATTAACAAAAGTGAAAGAGACTTAAAAAGAATATGCAAATTTTAATTTCCCACATTCTCCGCATGACGTGGAGTTTTTTTACATATGAGCAAAGTGATTACAGTAAAATTTGTTTGTTGTTGATATATAAATTCAACAATAGAATAAAAAAAAAAACAAAATTAAAATTTATACTATAATGATTTTCAAGCGCCAAAAAAAAAAAAATTAAATTTATTTTTATTTTAGCTCATGGCGTAAAAAAAAGGTCATATTTTTTATGATTAAACAATTCAAAAAAAAAATTGTACTAGATTAATATGGATAGATTATCTGAATATTTTTTTTGTGTGGCGCAGTATCGTGGAAAAAAAATCGGATGTTGACGTTTGAAATATTTTGATACCTCCTTATAATCAGTTCACTGTAAACTATATAACTATAATAAAATTAATAAAATTGTAATATTGTACTGATAGATAAAATTAGAAAAAACCTGACAATATATTTTCAAATTAAGATATTTGAAACATGTACTTTTTTATTATTTACATTATTTTTAAAAAAAGGAAAATTTATAGAAAATTTTTATTGTTTCATAAAAGGTAAATTTTCTCCAATTACGGTAAATAATTTTAAAAGGTAATGTATATCCTTCCAATTTTGTTCTTGAAAAGAAAGAAAGGTAAATTTTGTTATTGTTTGATAATTTGGTAAAGTTTTTAAATGATTATAAAGAAAAAACCGGTACAAAATCCTGATCCTTTTAAACGTTATTCATTGGTTATTATATTTTAAGTTTAAAGTTATTTATTTCTTCGCCTTTTACGTAATAATATTGTAAAAAAAAAAAACATTTATATATTTTATATATTTACATATTTACATATTTACATTTGACATTTGACGACTAATAACGGTTGATGCCGAAAAATTACTGTGCATAATGATATGCATATATTTCTGGAAAATCATTTGAATCAATATGAATCACGAGTCATATAGAATCACGTCATGGGGTTTTAAAGTCCGCCAAATGATCCGCATGTGTCACTTTGATCAACTAAATTTTATTTAGTAAATTTATAAGCCATATATAAACCTGTCTCTTATACACATCTAGATGTGTATAAGAGACAGATTATATAGTATATATATTTTTTTACTCACATGAAGAAATGTCAAAATTACCTTTAGAAACTATTGAAGAGATCCTTAGTTACATCGATGAAGACGATATAACAACTTTTCATTCTTTATCATTTATTAATAGAACATGGTGTAATCTTTGTATTCCTCATTTATGGAAGAAACCTTTTAACATAAAAAATAATAATAATAATTCAAAAAATCTTTATAAAATAATTACAATAATTTTATCATTTCTTGATGAAGAACAAAAATCCGTACTTAAATTAAACGAAAAAAAAACTGGAATATTTTCAACAAAAAAATTATTATATAATTATCCTTCATATATAAGACAATTAGATTTTAATAAATTATTTTTATTAATAACAGAATGGATAATAAAAAATAAAAAATATCGAACGAAATTTAAAGAAAATTATTTTATAAAGAATAGTGATAAATTTACTTTTGATTTTTCAATCTTTAAAGAGGATGAAGAAGATTATGAATTAAATTTTAGTTATAATCGTATTATAGAAAGATGTTGTTTAAAAGATCAAGAAAAATTGGCGTTCTTTGAATATATTTTTAAAATTATTATAGCGAGGAGTAAAGGAATTAGAAAATTATTTGTTGATATATATCATGAAAATGAAGAAATCGCTTATACTATACCAAAGGATTATTTTAAATATATTTTTGAATTAAAAGATTTTGGAAAATGTTTTTCTGGATTAAATGAATTTTCTTGTAAAGGAAATTTTCATAAAACTTGGTTAATTAATGGAATCAAAAAATATTCTCATGATATAAGAAAATTAACAATTTATCCTTGGAATAGAAATTATATTAATGATTTAAGAGTAAAAGATTTAAAAGGTTTATTAAAAGCTCAAAAAAATCTTAAATCTTTATCATTTTCCGTTGATTCGGAAGTTGAAAAAAAGGTTATAGAATGTATGCAAGGAAATATTTCGAAAACTTTGGAATCTTTTAATATGAAATATGGTGATTTAACGGATAATGAATTAAAATATTTATCAAAATGTAAAAAATTAAAAAAATTATGTTTTGATACCGTTTATTTTGATGAATCAATTAATATTTTAGGTAAAATTATTTATCCTGATCTTGATGAATTAATCTTTTTTAATTGTAATTTTTCAAATTCTTTTATAGATTTATTAAAAGAATTTATTAAGAATAATGGTCATAATTTAAAAAATTTTCAATTAAGTCAAAATATTATAGATATTAATAATATTAATAATAATAATTTAGATATTAATGATATTCTTTCTACTTTATTAGTTTCTTGTTCTAATTTATCCAATTTTTATGTAAATATTGATAATCAATCCGATATTATTTTATTTTTTAAGATTTTAAGACAATTTAAGCATAGTTTAAAATCCATTAATGTTGGTAATTATAATAATGGTATACCAAAATTTAATTTTAATTATGATTTTATGTTAGAATTTATTGAAATTTTTATGTCAATGTCGAATATTATAAATTTAGATTTAAGTAATTGGGAAATTTCTTTTAATTCTTTTAAGATTTTTATTGAAAATTGTTGTCATAGTAAGATTTTATTAAAAGTATTTAAAGTATCATGCGTTGGTGGTTCTAAGGAGGATTTGGAATCTTTAATCGAATCTAATGCAAAATTAAATTCCAGATCATTAGATAATATTTTAATTATAGAGAATGATGAAATTAAAAATATCACCATTGTATGGCATTAACAATTTTGACGACGACGTTAGACGGAGTTAAGTTATATTTTGACGGAGTTAAGTTAATTTATAATTTTGACGAAGTTAATTTATAATTTTGACGGAGTTAATTTTTAATTTTGACGGAGTTAATTTATAATTTTGACGGAGTTAATTTATAATTTTGACGGAGTTAAGTTAATTTTTAATTTTGACAGAGTTAATTTATAATTTTGACGGAGTTAAGTTAATTTTTAATTTTGACAGAGTTAATTTATAATTTTGACGTCATTAGGTTTTTATTATCATTCATTTCATTCCATATTTTTAACACAAATTTTATCTCATAATTTTTTATATAGAATTTTTTCAAATCTACCATAAATATTCTTATATTATTATCCATTAGTTCTTCAATTCTAAATTCATTAAAATTTCTTGTTAATATTTCATAAATTATTTCTTCATAATCATATTTTTTAGAATAAAATGAATAAAATAAATTAAATATTTTTAAAAAATAATATTTAAATAATTTAATTACATTATTATTTTCAATAAAATATATTTTAAATAATTTTTTTTTAGAAAATGTTGTAATCATTGTAAAATTTTCAACAAAACATTTTGTCATTTTTTCATTTTTTAATATTTCATTAGAAAGTAAAAATATTATAGTATCTTCTAATTCTTCAATAATAATAAATTTATTAAAAATTTTTTCTTCATTTTCATTTAATTTTATATTATTAAAAAATTTTTCAATTTTAATTCCAGCGTTTGATAAATTGATTTTTGAATTTTTGAAAATTTTGAAATTTTTGAAATTTTTGAACGGATTCAAAAAATAGAGTTTCGAATAAACACTCGATGTACTCGATGTACTCGATTTAATTCGTTCATAATTTGGTATAAACCAATTCGAATAATCGGTTCCTAATCCATGAATAATTGCCATTATTATAATTGGTGGCATTAAGGAACTATGTAATCCTAACGCTTCTGCTTCTTTAATTCCATCCTTCCATATTTGTTGATACCAATCGGTTTTATCCGTTTTTATGTAATTATTGTTTACAAAAGCAGAAAATAAATTTATCGTGAATAATTGTTTATCGGATACATGTAATTTATTTTGAGACGACATTGCTGAATTACAAGAAATAGTTAACTTTCTAAAAAGAATAGAAAAGAATGTGAGAGAAAACTTTGTGAAAATCTCTTAAATTGTACTTTGTTCATTGGTTGAAATCATGACCAATGGAATTATTAGTCAATTAAAAATCCTAAAGGAACTAACTCTCTTAGTACTCTAAATGAAATCCAAACTTCTTTGTGATAGGCTGCGTAACAAGAATAAGAATTTTTCGATAATCAATACCTAATCTTAGATATTCTTTTATTCTATAATTCTATCATTCTACGTGCATTTTGAAATATTGTATCACACAGCAGATTATTCGAATTACCAAATTTATGCTAGTATAAACCAATTCACTTTGTAAATGTGTCTAGTTTTAATTGCCTTTTAAAAATTTGTTTGTGAATGTATTTGACGTGTTGTTATTTATTTGTAACTAATGTGGGACTTTTAATGTGGCGAAGTCACTCACTTTTTTTTGCTGTTTAAAGCCACATTTTTTAAAGCCTCATTTTACGTGGCTTAATAACAAATGTTTATATTGTTTATATTTTGATACGTAAATTGACACGATGTTAAGAGTTTTATAAAATATGGTCAAATTTAATTATTTAATTGGTCCTAAAGTTGATTGATTTTTGTAAACTCACTTTTTTCGTTAAATAATACTCGCTTTCCCTTTTTTTTTTCATTTTGCACTAACACTTAAAAAAAATTTATACCACTTTCAAAATAAATTTGAAATAATTAAGATGGGATTAAAGGATGACTTTGTGACTTCACTAGCAGAATTTATTGGAACTACATATTTCATTTTCATAGGTAATTTTAATTTTAATTTTTAAATGTATTATAATTACGACGTTAATGGTTAGTAATTATTTAAGGACTCGGAGGTAGTGATGCAATAGCTGCTTTTTCTGGAAAATCTTTAGGTGACATGTAAGTTATAATATGACATTCGATACCTTATAGTGCTGACATAAATTCAAATATGATATAGTGCTGACATAAATCATTCTGATAACCTATAGAAAACTCTTTGCTACTGCATTCTCATTTGGATGGTCATTAATGATAAATGTATGGCTTTGGAGTGATATATCCGGCGGAGGTTAACGTTCTTTCTCTCTCTAGTTTATTTCGCTACAATTTATTAAGTGAATTAACACAACTCAATCGCCTTTCAATATTTTAGTATTGAATCCTGCCATTACTATAGCATTAATGTTTACAGATGATCAAGAATTAAGAATAAGGAGAGGAATTTTTTATATCATCGCACAATTCGCAGGAGCTATACTCGGATCATTACTTGTAAAATTATTTTTACCAGCTCCAATTGCAGCTTTAACAACCCTTGTATGTATTAAAACATAATTGTATAAATGAAATTAATTATTAACGGTGCTTTTTATTTATAAGTCGGACGGAACTACAATTCTTCAAGGATTGGTAATTGAAATTATTACTACATCTTTATTAACATTAACTGTGTATACATTAGCCGTTAATGAAAGAGGTGGATTTATGAAATCTTTTGGAATTGGAACTTCTGTATTAATTTCTGTACTTGTTGGTAAAGTATTGTAATGATTTTTTTTTAATTGTTCTGTTACAAATTTATCTTATTAACCCAAAAAACTTTATTAATCAGCTGGACCATATACAGGAGCAAGGTAAAAAATTATACGTACAAAAATTAATTTTTGTATATTAAATTTACGCGTTATAAAATTATAATTAGCTTGAATCCAGCGAGAACTCTTGGTCCAGCCATTGTAGCAGGAAAAATCTCCGGTGATATTTGGATTTATTTCATTGGTCCTATTATAGGAAGTTTATTAGCGGCATCATTTCATACTTATTTTAAAAAAAATTTTGTAGGTTGATTTTATTGGTTATTAATGTTAAAAAAAGTACTTATATACATTTTATATACTTTTTTTAGGGAGCTCTACATCTTGATAGGGATAGGGATGATCTTGATAGGGATCTTGATCTTGATAGGGAAAATCTTGGTAAGGATTAAATGAAGTTTAAGGATTAAAGGATGTTTAAAATATTTTAAGACCTTTTTTTTCTATACCTAAATATTATATATATTGTACAAGTATATATTGTATAACTAATAATAAAGGAGAATTGTTGATCTGTTGTTTGAATCAGATAATGTACTGCTTATCAATTTAATATCCAATACTTTTTTGACATTTGCATATATCCAACAGTATAACGTACTGTATGTAAACTAAAAATAATGCATGTAAAGAAAAAATTTTTTAATAAATCTTTTAAATGATTTGAGTGGATTAAAAAAAAAAAAAAAAAGTTAAAAATAAAAAAATCATAATAATAATTTTTTTTTTTTATAAATACCAATTAGACGCGCTTTTAAAAAATAAAAAGATTTTTCTTTTTAAACGTGATTTGATAAAAAAAAAAAAAAAAGTTTTTGCCAAGAATTTTTTAAATATAATTTTTTTTTTTTTTTAATATATATATAAATAAATAAAAAATCCAGTTTTTGATTCGACTATACGAAATATGATTATCATATTAATATTAAAAAAAGGTTTTAAAAAAAATATTTTATATTAAAAAAGTCAAATTATTAATTATAAATTGTTGATAATCATAAATAAAATGATGTTATTCGAAACTTTAAAATTAAAGTTTTGAATATCAAATCAAATTAATTCGTTAATAATAAACAATGAAACGGTCAGAATATTACGTAATTTAATTTCGGTAAATTTTTCGGATATTTATTTGGTAAAAACATTAAAAACAAAATAATAAAACCAGTTTAAAATTATGAATTTTTGATTCTAGCCAAAATTTGAAAATTATAACTTGAATTACTTTGAATTATTGAATCATAAAAATAGATATATATTATTTATATTATTGTATATACAAGATATAATATTTTACTACTATCTGCTATTTGTTGCTTATTTTGAGTCTTTTTGATTTTTTTATTTATATAACATCGTATCGGTATCGTATATTAAATGATCTCTTTTTTTAAGATAATTTATCTTTGAGTTATATAATATTATTTCTTCCTTGGTTTATATCAAGTAGCAAAATCATTCCATCATGTCATCACATGTCAATATGTCAACATGTCGAATTATCTTACTTTAATATTTGATCGGACTTTTAAATTATAGAAAGTTTTTATAAGCATGTTATTATATGAGTTACAATAGTATTGCGGTATACGGGACAGGAAGTTACTACAACATTACAGTCTTGTATTGTCATTACTTTAACGTCTCAGTTCAATCCCAAAAAAGTGTGATAAATCAATCCCATGGATAAAATAGCAAATTAGGAGATTGAAGAGGTAGAATATCGATATAAATAATATAATATATATATACGTCTTGTACATGTAGCTCACAAACAATAAAAATTTACCCGAAACTGGTCTGACAGCGGTCCGACAATTTGTCGAAAAATCTTGTAGAAAAATAGTAAGAATGTGAAAGATCGTCAGAGAAAAAAAAAACAAGTTATATGTACTGTATGACTGTATGTATATCAATGAATTTTACCGTAAATAATGTAATTTTACCACCGTTGTTCCACTGGTACTTCTCGTACATCACGCGCGAGATAAAACTTGCCGCAGTGCTCATATTTAGATTCGTTACACGGATTATCATCAATTTGTTATTTGACTTTGAGCTTAAAAAATTTTTTATTTTTTGACAATTTACAAAATGGGTCGACTTTGTGTTATTTGTGACAAAGAACGGGCAATAATAAAAAGACCAAAAACAGGTCAAAAACTTTGTAAAGAATGTTTTTATTATGTATTTGAAACGGAAATTCATAACGCGATTATAGACAATAAATTATTTAAGAAAGGTGATAGGATCGCTATTGCTGCATCTGGAGGAAAAGGTAATGGAACAAAAAAAAAATTTTTTTTTTCTAAAATTTTATTAAAAATAAAAAGTGAAATATCAAGAAAATTAAAAGAATTGTTACTATTTTTTTCATAGATTCAACGGTATTAGCTCATGTTATGAAACTTTTAAATGAGAGATATCAATATGGATTAGAACTTTTTCTTTTATCTGTTGATGAAGGAATAACAGGTTACAGAGATGATTCGTTAGAGGTAATTTTTGTTTTATAAAAAAAATTATTTTTTTCAGAAAATTAATGATTTATTTTAAATAAAAGACTGTAAAGAGAAATCAACAACAATATGAATTACCCCTCAAGATCATTTCATATAGTGAATTATATGGATGGAGTATGGATCAAATTGTAAAAGAAGTTGGATTAAAAAATAACTGTAAGAGGAAAATTAAACGTTGAATTTTTTTTTTAATTACTTTTTAAGATTATAAACGTATTTTATTGTTCTTTAGGTACTTTTTGTGGTGTATTCAGACGTCAAGCATTAGATAGAGGAGCTGTGATACTTAATGTTGACCATATAGTAACAGGGCACAATGCGGATGATATTGCCGAAACAGTTTTAATGAATAGTAAGTATGTTTTCTTTGCGTTTGTTTGGGTAAGGGGCTAAGATGCAAGATAAACATTATGCAGCACCATGAATAACTCAGGCCAGAGATTATTTTTCGGTGAAATGGCTATGTCCCGATACCATCTCAGATATATTTATAATGATTTTCTAATTTCAAACAAAAATTTATGCAAATATATCATGATATATATATTTTCCAATGGTTATATTAATTTATATTTATTTATCTAGTCTTGAGAGGCGATATAGCAAGACTTCAAAGATGTACAGAGATATGTACGACTGGTGATGGATGTATACGAAGATCAAAACCGTTCAAATACACTTACGAGAAAGAAATCGTCATGTTAGTTTTATACTATGTATATATTAATTTTAATCCATACATTATTAATTCAATTTTTATATTTTTAGGTATGCATATTTTAAGAAGCTTGATTATTTTTCGACGGAATGCATATATTCACCTAATTCATATAGAGGTCATGCTAGAACGTTTCTAAAGGATTTAGAATCTGTTCGACCCAGTGCTATTATTGGTAAATATAAATGAACCCAATTCTCCAATTTCTTCATTTTTTTTTTTTTAAAAAAAAAAAAAAAAATTTGAAATTAACCAAAAATTTATTATAAAAGATATAATACATTCAGGTGAAGCATTTGAAATCAAGAAAGAAGTAAAATTACCTACACAAGGAGTATGTAAGAGATGTGGATATATGTCAAGTAATGAACTATGTAAAGCGTGTGTATTATTAGAAGGATTAAATAGAGGTTTACCAAAGTAAGTCAATAAATACAGTCAGATCTCGATATACTGATATTCTACATTAAAAACGATATATAACGATAAAATTTTACTTTCCCGCTATATGAGAATATCGGTATAATTTGATATAACGATATTTTTCAATGATTTTCATATGGATCCCCAACATATCGTTATATCGGAGTTTGGCTGTAATTTTTTTATTATTATAATAAACATAATAAACATCCTTTTACTAAATTTTTCTTTTTTTCTTTTTTATTAGGCTTGGTATTGGAAAAACTCACAGAATGGTAAATATTATTAATAAGAATTTTTTTTTAAAAAAAATACTAACTATTTTTACTGATTTTTAGAGAAAAATTCATGGAGATATGCCACAAGATACAGCCATAATACCTCATTTTAATAAAATTAAAATTAATGATGATGAAAATAATAATATAATTATTGACGATTCAAATAATTTAAAAGAAAAACTTGCTGAAAAGTAATAAAAATAATTATATAAAAAAATATGTAATTATGCGCAAAATTTTATAAATCCGTAATAAAATGTTTAACCAAACACGGATACTGAAATCCGGTTATTGATTGTTATTCGAAAAAATTTTTATTCAACTTCTAAAAAAAATTAGACTATTCCTATAAAAATTCAGGTCGCTGGGTTGCGGCAGGTATGCGTCAGCCTATTATGTTAATAAAAAAAAAAATTTTTTTTTGATCTGATCGTAAATTAGTTTATTCCTTTTTAAAAAATTATTTCCGGAAAAATTTCTAGCCTTGACCTTTCAGCCTGTTTTTAGCGTGATTATTTCATGAACCCAGAAACTCGGAACCCAATTATATGCTCAGATGTGCGTTTCGCAGTACGTAATCTTGTTTCCACTTATATATAAACAAAGCAAACATTCCAATTTCCAAATCTCATTTTCTTCATTTTCATATTTCGGATGCTTTGCTTTTAAAAAATACTTGATTTGGTATTTATATTTATATAATTCAAAAGTTTCTTTATCCTTACTGCGGATTATTTATAATTATATAACTAATATATAAATTCTTTATCATTTTTAAAGCAAAAAAAAAAATTATAAATTATTAGGATAATTTTATTCCAAATATATAATTAAGTATCATGCTGACAAATTAATATTAGTATACATTGATTCTAATTTAATTTTTTTTTTTGTGATCAAGGTCTTTATCAGGTAATGAGTTGAATAATAACTTTGTGTAATTTTTATGAATTTCTTTCTAACGATTTATAGTATGTATTATTGATTAGACATATCACTGTTTCGCATCGAAATTCATCTAATTGTAGAGATTTAAAGAATAAAGGTTTTTAATAAATAATTTATTATTTATGTTTTTTTTGTATCGTATTTTGATTCTCACTTAAATATTTTGAATTTTTTCTTTTTCTTTTTCTTTTTCTTAAAAATACGTTGACTTTGTCCGCAAAAGAACTTATTCTGAAAATTTAATTATTATACATTTTTTTTTTCTATTAATATCATCATGGATAATTCGAGTGTTGATATTTGTAGTACGGTAGATTCTTTAGATACATGCGTTGCAACTGAATTTTCATACGTTGAACAAGCATATAGAGTTGAAGATAATGATACAGTTAATTTGGAAGCTTTGGCAAGTTTATTTATAAATAATGATGAATGGCGAGTGAATGGAACTGTTCCTTTCATGAAGGATGGAGAAGTTTTGGAACATATCTTATATTATTTACCTTCTTTGGAAAATCCTGCAAAAGAACAATTTATAGAACGTTTAATATGTTTTGCAGAATATTCCGATATGAATAAATGGATTATGTTCGAAAAAAATACTACTAGTAGTCTTTTAAGAGAAATAATTTGGAAAGCATATCAAAGAGATAAAGTCGCAGAATTAACCATGAGACTTTTGGATATTATTTGTTCATATTCTGTAAAAGTTTATGATGTGAAATTGATATTAAATATGATTTGTAACAAATATGAAGGTGATACGACTTATCAAGGGGATTCAGCTTGGTATCAAGGCGTGTTATTAAAATTATTATATTCAATTTCACAAAGACAGAATACTTCAAATTTTTTTTATCTTAGAGGAATTGAATCAGGAATAGAAATATCCTCAATAGATAAATTTCCATCAAATGGTTATTCTTTTTTTACTTGGATTAAATTGGATCCGACTCCATCACCAAAAGAATTAATAGGTTCTAAAGAATATGTACCAAGACTTTTTTCCTTTTTTACAGAAAAAGGAGATGGGATAGAAGCTTATTTTGAAAATAATGAATTAGTATTCTGTTGTAAAAAAGGAAAAGATGAATCGACAGTTGTTATGAATAATTTTAAGTTCACACAAAAAAAATGGTATTTTATTGCTATATCTCATAATACAGCAAAACGTGGATGGACTTCTACTCCAGCGGAAATAACAGTTGTTGTTGATGGTAATATTACATTCAAATCTCGTTTAGAATATCCGGCGGATTTTTATTTTTCACGTCCTTTTAAATATTGCGCGATTGGAGCATCAATGTTATTGAAACCATCATCAAGTTCCGATAATGATTCAAATTCTTCATTATCAAACGCATTTTATAATTGTTTACGTGGTCAAATTACTACTTTATATATGATATGTGATATTCTTACGAAGGAACAAATTTTGGACCTTTACGCTCTTGGAAAAAATAATGCTTCACAATTTCTACCTTATCAAGAAAATGGAATGAAAAGTGATCTCTTTGATGGTATATTTTGTCAAAAGATTCTTTTCATCTTTCACGTGAAAGCGTCAGAAAATCAGAAATGTTTTAACTTATCACCTCGTTATCAATCATCTCAAGATTCATTTACTGCTACTTTATATGGGGTGGAAAAATGTTCAACTCTTAGTTTACAAAATGCAATACATTTTCTTGGGGATCTTGAAATTTTATTCCCTATGATAATGAGATTTGATGATTTGGGTTCCGTAAATTTACAAGCTCCACTTGAATCGCAGGACGATTTTTTTGATTCTGAAGGACCATGCAAATCTTTCTTCTCCCTTTTATCATCATTACTTCAAAATAATGAAAGGAGTCAAAAACACGTTATTAAATCTCGAGGGATTAAAGTTATTAGTCTTTTACTTCAACAAGTAGGTCCCCGACATTTTTCAATATCAGCTTTTAAAAGTATGATAGCTTTGGCTAGCTCTTTATCATCTAATGAGGAGCTTTCACGTGAGGTTTTCTCAAATCTTGTTTTTGAATTTAAATTATGGATGTACGCGTCTATTGAAATTCAAAAATATTGTATTGATTCTTTGAAAAATTTTGTGGATGCAAGAAAACAAATGTGTAGAAAATTATTTGGTATTCAATTCTTTTTGGATATTTTACAAAATATTTATTGGTATAAACAAGGAGAATATTCTGCTTTACATAGACATCCTACAGCAGGAGTTACAAGGCCTAAACCATCACAACTTAAGGAACTTCGAGGAATGTTAATTAGTATCATTCATGGTTATTTTAAGGATGGTGTCACAAAAGATGAGACATTATTCTTATTTAGAAATATTTTAAACAGTGATGATGATACTCATGTGCATGAGATATTAACTTTACTTTTTGATTTATTACAAACAAAGAAGGAAGTGGTCGATATATTTTTTTCTTATAGAGGATTCGAAATTATTTGTGAACTTTTGAAAAGACGTGATGAGAATGTACGAATAGATTGTATTAAAATTTTCACATTTTTAATAACGAGTCCATTAACGCCACCAAATTTTATCAAAAAATTACGATTCGAAGATACGGATCCTATTAATTTGATAAAATTAATGTATAATGCACCAATGACTATCGATATTTATCATGCTTTATTAAATTGGTCATTAGAACAATATAATAATAATATTTTTGAATTTACTGAAAAAATTAATGAAGGATTTCCTTTAACATTACCTCAAATAAAAAATTTTCGAATAATTTTAGTTATATTAGCATTATTAGATTCAGAAGGAACGAAAAGAATTGTTCAATGTAAAATTCTTGAATCTTTAATCAAAATTTTCAAAAAAAATATTTCATATTGTTCTGAACTTAATCAATTTTGGTTTTGGCAACGTTATCTTATTAGACTTATACCAATTTATGGAGGTCAAGAAGGTGTACTTACTGAAAGAGAGAATAAAGATACAGCAGATTGGGCATTTGAATTTATAGCAAATGTTATTTGGAATTTATTTGAAATTGATAAAACTTCTTATAGAACTGTTGAAGAAACTATTATATATATTTGGTCTACTGATCGTCAAGATTGTTTGGAATGTAATCGATCTTTCCTTAGTCAATTGTTTTCTCTTATTTTACAAGATATTAAGAATTCATATGTTGCATCATTCGCCATTACTAAATTGGTAAGTAAAATTTTTTATTTATAAAATCTAAACACGAAAAATTTTATCTAATTTTAATGATGATCTTTTTTTTATAGCAAAATATAATGAATCTTTTGGCTACAACTGAAGAAATACTTTTTAATCATAAAGATTTGGTACAAACATTTATTCAAAGACAATCTACTCATATTCTAAGAAGTTCATCACAATCTGAAAGTTACCCTTCTTCAATAAATTCCGGTCATGGTGAGTTTAATTTTATAAGTTTAATTTTATTAATTTATTATTATTTTCATTCATTTATTTTTATAATTAAATACATATAATTTGTACTTGATTATTATTATTAGATTCCAATATTTCCAAAACAAATAAATTTGATGATAATATAATTCAAAAATTGGAAGCTACATTTACTTCACAAAAATGTGAAGAAATGATCTATCAAAGTGCTAGTAATCCTTGGGAAGAGAATCAAATTCTTGCTAAGGTATATTTAGAAATTGTAGATATTTTAGATAGAACAGGTAGTTGGAGATTAGACTTACCGGCTAAGAGTGAAAGGGTAAATACTTAAAAAATATATATATATTTTTTTTCATAATAATTTTAATTCGCTTTTATATGATAATTTTTGCATGATCACTTTTATTATTATAGGTACCTGGTGAGATTTGTAGAATGGTTTTAAGAACATTAATTGCTGGTATTTCTATTCCGGATCGTGAATTACGTGATCAATCTCTTGATCATATGACAGGATTTATTGAAAGGCATATAAAAGTAACTTTTACGGATTCAAAGACTGGAAAAAAAGAATCACCGGATGAATTTCGTTGTCAGGATAGTGATGTTTTTCAACGACATATTCTTATGTTATTGGGAGAAATGCACGAAATTTTCATGTATGATTCATTTATTATGTTAACATGTACGTGTGTATTTGTATTAATTTTTTAAAAAATTTTTTTTTTTTTTTCTCCCTCTGATAGGACCACACAGACAAATGGTTCATATGATGAAAAAGTAACATTCACTTATTACTTTGTTATGCATAAATGTAAAGATTATTTGATTCATCTTAGTGATGATGGATCATTTAACGAAACATTTGATTCAATGTGGGTTGGGAAAAATTTCAATAGTCATATTTTTACACAATTCGTTACATCTCGTAGTTGGATATCAATACATAATAAACATATTGTACCTGCAATGAAAGCTGCAAATGAGGATGAATTTACAATGGTACGAAAAATGGTAGACCGATTTTCAAAAAAGGTTAATATGCTTTTACATCGTTTCAAGAAGGAAGATTCAACATCTCTTAAACTAGAAGAAGTTTTTGACAATGAAATGACTTTAATTATTAAGTCTTATAAGGATGAAGAATCAAATAGATTGACTAGTGTTCAAGCTGATAAGAAGAATGATGATATGCGTACTTCTAGGAAATGGTTATCAAAGTTTCATGAATTAACACAAGAACGTGGCGTTTGGTCTTTATCACGTCAAACTGATTTACATTGGAAACTAGATAGAAGAGAAAATTATTCTAGAATGCGAAGAAAATTAACTATAAACTATGATTATGATGCTCATCGTGAAGCAAGTGCAAAAAGAGATAAAACTCCTATTGAAGTTTCCTCAAATAAATCAAAGATACAAAGACTTAAGAAAGCTAATACAGATAACGGTAATAATTCGACTCCATTATTAAATGCCGTAGAACCATGGACAGATGGATGGGGATTCAGTGGATCTTCTTTAATATCAGAATCAGATAGTCTTGCTTCATCGTCTGAGGATCAAGAATGGAATCTTATAGCTGGAGATAAAGTAGTTGAAACTATTGATATCTCTTCTGATATGAAATTATTCTCTACAGAATGTGAAATGATTGTTCTTCTTTCTGCGATCAAAGGAAGAATTGAACTTACGTCAACTCATCTTTGTTTCTTTGTGGATAGACGTAATTTATTGCAAGAACTTAATAATATTGAACAAGGATCTATAGTTGTGGATAGTGAGATTTTACGTGATAAAAAATGGCCAATTTCTGACATAAGAGAAATTCATATACGAAATTATATGTTGAGACGAAGTGCGTTAGAATTATTTTTAACGGATCAAACAAATTATTTTTTCAATTTCTCAGAACCGAAAGATAGATTACGTTTATTTAATAAAATTACATCACTCAAACCTAGTTCAATGAAAAATCAGGATACTAAATCTCCTAAAACAATATTTCAAAGATCAAATTTAACTGAACGGTGGAGAACACATGAAATATCAAACTTTGAATACCTTATGCATTTAAATAGTATTGCTGGAAGATCTTTTAATGACTTAACACAATATTTCGTATTTCCTTGGATTTTAAATGATTATGAATCAGAAAGTTTAGATTTATCTGATCCTAGTATTTATCGTGATTTAACAAAACCAATTGGAGCTTTAAATCCCGATCGTTTAGAACAATTTGTAGAACGTTACGAGAGTTTTGAAGATCCATCAGGAAGGATTAAAAAATTCTTTTATGGAACTCATTATTCAAGTGCTGCAACCGTATCTTGTTATTTAATTCGATTGGAACCATTTACTTCTGTTCATATTTCTTTGCAAGGAGGCAAATTTGATCATGCAGATAGACAATTTCATTCTTTACAAGAGACATGGAATTCCGTACTTAGTGCAAGTGGAGATGTTCGAGAATTGATTCCGGAGTTCTTTTATCATCCCGAATTTCTTACGAATCATAATAATTTTGATCTTGGGGTAAAAAAAAATTATATATATATATATATTCCTGATATTGTCAGATCACCTTTATCTAATGATTCATATGTAAATTAGGTCAAACAAGATGGTACGCGTGTAGATAACGTAGTTTTACCAAAGTGGGCAAAGACTCAAGAAGAATTTATACGTATTCATCGAGAAGCATTAGAATCAGATTTTGTTTCGGAAAATCTACATCATTGGATAGGTAATTTTCGAAGAATATTAATTCATACGAATTTAAACTCTAATATTTATCATGATTTTTATAACTAGATCTTATTTTTGGATATAAACAAACTGGAGAAGAAGCAGTTAATGCTTATAATGTATTTTATTATTTGACTTACGAAGGGGCAATAAATATTGACAATGTTCAAGATCCTATTGAAAGAAAGAGTATAGAACAACAAATTTACCATTTTGGACAAACTCCGACTCAATTATTAACTAGACCTCATCCGAAACGACATCTTAGCAAAGATTTTTTGAAAAAAGATCTTTTATTATCCTCAGATCATGAACATCAACGGTTTTTAATTGATTTGAAATGTGGTCGATTACATCTGGCAGATTTACCAAAACCCGATAATGAAATGCACTCTATAAGTGATATGCAACAAGTTATTACAATTGATGAAAATGGTATAATTGGTTGTCATCGAGTTTTAAGAAAATCAACTGCACCGGAAATACCTTTTACTGTGGAAGTTGATCCTAGTTTAAAGTATAAGAGGTACCTAAAATATTCATTATTGCTTAATCTATAATGATGTCTATTAATATATACTAATTATTACTATTGTCTTTTAGTAAATTGGATAGTCCATATTATTATGATGTAGTGATCTCACCTAGGTGCTTTGCGTGCAGTAAAGATGGGAAAGTTATCATTAGCACTGGTCACTGGGATGACACAATGAAAGTGACTTTAACTGAAACAGGACGAACTATTGATAGTATTTCGGGAAATGATGATATCCTTTGTTTTTCATATCTTTAGTTTTTTTACTATGTTCTCTATTTATTGTTCTTAACTTCTACACACATGTTGTAACAGCAATAGCAATAAGTGAAGATGGACGAATTATCGTAACAGGGAATAGAAGTTCAAATTTATTATCATGGAAGGTCAATTTGACAAGTGATAATGAATTTTTGAATATTGAACATACACCCTTACGTTCATTCTATGGTCATGATGATGAGGTATCTTTCATAGTATGATTTATTGTTTTATTATAATCAGTTAACAAGGTGATAACGGAAAATTTTATTTAATAACAGATTACATGCATCGTTGTTAATGCGGAACACGACATTTTGATAAGTGGATCCAGGGTTTGTAGACGATATCATTATTATTGTTGTTATTTGAACATAATATATTAATTTCATTCTCACTTCTATATTTGACTTTTAATAAATAGGATGGAACATGTATAGTACATTCACTACAACATGCTAATTATATTCGAACTTTGCGACCTCTGCATGATCTGGATGCGATTGTCGAATTCGTTTGTATATCAAAAGATGCGAACATTATAGTGTACACAGAAGTAAACGTAAGTTAGTCATTATTATTCATTTATTAAAATTTGTAATAAAAGGTATAATTAATGATCAATTAAATTTTTTAGGAGGAATATTTTCTACATACTTACAGTGTAAATGGAAAATTACTTAATTTTATCAAAATATCTGATCGATTAAATCATATGATTTCTGCACCGGATAAGAATATAATACTTACATCTAATGATAAAGGACAGATTACTGTATATTTTGCTCTTAGGTTTGTATAAATTTAAGTAATCTATATGTTTATTTATTTATTATTAACATTTATTTTTTTTTTTTTGCAATAATAATAGTTTGGAAGTCAGTCATGAATTTAGTGTACCATTGATTGGTAGATGTATTAGGTTAGGTGGTAATAATAGACAATTATGGGTAGCAGGGGATGATGGTAAACTATTTATCCTTTCACATAATGCTGCACATTATGATAAGTTAATTTAATATCCGATTTTTTGTTGTAAAATTTTGATTAAATCAGAATTTGAATGATCGTTTAATTTTTTTTTTTATATGTATATATGTGATTAAAACCATCATCTGGCTGAATTATATTTAAAATAGTTACGAGAGATTTATTAAATTTTTACTAAGAAACTTAACAGTATATGATTATTAAAAACTAGCAGCTAATCATATGTAAAATTATAATAAATATTCATTATTTAGTTCCATTAAAACTACTTATAATATAGAATTAAGTGGCAAAAATAATTTTTAGTTTGTAAGACTTTAACTCCATACCAACTTGTGTGTGTTTGAGCGTTAATTTATTCCCTAACCCTTAGACCCACTTAAATTAATTAACTAAATAATAATTGTCCTCATTCTGTTCTTCTTTTAAAGATTAAAGGTATTGGATATGGTCCCATAGTTCCACTATTATCAGGTTCAATTTGTAACTTATCCTTGTGAATACTATCTGCTGGTAAGGACACTTCATATTTTCTTACTGTATATATAAGATTACTTTTTAGTAAATAATGAAGATTAAAATTATGAATATTATAAAATAACTTACATAAAGCGCATAGAGTTATTCTCTGTTCAATAAGTGAGAAATTATTTCCTAAACATCTAATTAATCCAAAAAAAAAAATGTTATCTTTTTTTTTTATAATAAATATAATAAACCAGTATTTCGCATACTTACGCTCTACTACCACCACCAAAACCTAACCAAGCAAAATGATCATGTTTTTCATTCTCAAATCTTTCAGGAATAAATTCTTCGGGATTCTCCCAATTTTTTGACGAATGATGAATTCCATAAACAGATAAAAATAAAGGTGTTTGGGCTGGAATTATATGATCGTCAAATTTAACATCCTGTACATTTTTTCTTACTGATAATTGTGCAATCTTAATGATACAGTTAAAAAAATTTTTTAATAAATGAAAACTAAATCTGATCAAAATGTTAAATCATACATACCGGAGGATATAATCTTAGATTTTCATTTATAACCATGTTCATATATTTTAATTCTTTATGTTGCTCCATGCTTGGCATTAAATTATCACCAAGAACGCGTAAGATTTCATCACGCACTTTTTTTTGCGCATCCTTATTTAATTAAAACAAAATAAATAATTATGATTTTAAAAAGAATTATCTCATAATATGAAATTTTTAAATACCTTGTGGATAGCCAAAAGATACAATATGGTTGTTAAGGAATTTGCGGCTAATTCACAAATGAAAAATAATAATTTATATTAATAAAAACAATAAATAAATGGACAACAAAGATCAATATTGATTTTTCTTACTAGTGTCATGACCAGCTAACATAAAAATTGCAAGATTATACTATAAAAACGTAAGGATTATTATTTAGTTAATTAAATAAAATTCAAAATTCAAAATTTTAACTCTTACCCGTAATTCATCATTTGTCAAAGTTGGATTTTCTGGATCATTGCAAGCACTTATCATATGCTCTAATAAATCGGCAGAATTATTATTTATCTTTTCATCTAACTCTCCTGATTTCATTGATTGACGTTTTTTTTCAACAAGTCCATCATATAAATTATTAAGTTTTGTCATCTTCTTAAGTGCTTCAGGACGCGGAAGATATGAAAGAAATGGGATAACAAAATATAATGGATTTCCCAATTCTTTTAATACTTCATTATAAGTAGTGACATATACATTTTTTGGATCTTCAAGATTCTAATTTTAACATTAATAAATAAAAATTAGCTTTTGATTTTGAAAAATGCACTTTTAAATGAATAATTATTTATAAATATAAAATTGATTATATCATACGTTAAAATCAAAACCAAAAGCAGCTCTACCAAGTACATCTAAAGTCAAACTATGCATGAAATTTTTGATCTCTATAGGTTCATTATCAACTTTTTCCATGACATCTAACAGTTTCATAACAGATTCAACAAATACATGTACTGGTAAACTTCGAAAAGAAGGATTTGTAATACGACTAGATATTATAAAGAAATTTAATTATATATACAACAAATTATATATACAATATTACTTAAATACGCAATTAATTATACCGGTGGCGTCTCCAAACCTATACAATCAAATAACAATGATTAGCTCGGATAATTCTGATCACAAGATTAGATTAACATACTCACATCACCGTTGGACATTACTACGTTTGTACCATAATATTGAGCAATTAAAGATCCAGGGAATGATTCTTCGAGAGGGATCTTGGGATATAAATCTAATTCATAAAAAGAAGTTATAACGATAAATTAAAAGAAATTACAACGTTAAATTAAAAACGAAAATGAATAAAAAATCTAACCAGATTTTGTAATTATGTCTTTTACTAATCCCAAATCGGTTATCATGACCATCCATTCTCCATTGAACCAAAACTAAAAAACTTTTTAAAAATTTACCTTTTAAAGTGTTAGAATAAATAGACTACTTACCTTCCCAATTCCTTCTTTTTCTACAAGATCTTTCATTTTTTCCCAACGCTTGTCTGGTCCAGCTTTATTAAGTAATTCAATAATAAAGCCGGTGCTACTTATTGTTGGCACATTTTCAAGTCCTTTAGGTACTCTTAATTTTTGATAAATTTTATAGACTATAAAAGATATCAAAGATAAGATTATTATAAGGAAATTCATTTTGTCAAGAATTAATCAAACAAGAGTCAATTCGAATGATTAATATTTATTTTTTTTGTTGATAAATTTCGGCCCGTAAAGCTGCTACACAACAAACATTTCATTTTTGGTTTTTTACAAAGATTGGATCAAAAAGAAGTTTGAAGGGGTTCTAAAAAAAAATTACGATAAATGAGCCAATGTCGCAGATCATGGCTAAACCTGTTTGAATTATGATTGCATAGATTTGCACTACATTATTATAGAATTCTATTTAGAAATTTCGCCTAGCCTTCGGTTAAAAGAACGGAACTATCATAAAATTTGGCGTACAAATACAAACTCTTACAAGAATGAATAATTCGATATTTTTCTACATGGTATGATTTTCACAAATGAAATAATGTGAAATCTGACGCGCGCACAATGTAATCTCTTTTTTAAAATAATTTTTTTTTTATTTTTTTCCCTTGGTTTTTTTTTGCATAATAAGATATAATTTTACAAGGTATCATGAGTTTTCGCAATAGTGTTTTTATTGCCAATTACATGTGAAATGTTAGATTTAGTCCATATCCTTGTAAAAAAAGTTGATCCGTTTTTTATATTCCATCTTTTTTCCGTTAAAAGGTCATATTTCCGGAATTAATAACTTTATATCCCGATTTATTTACATTTTTGTTGAATGGATCCGTAAAAAGCTCATTTTTACGGAGTTTTTTAGAAATAACGGATAAAATTTTTTATAGGGTTATTTTTAATATCTTAGACGAATCGGCAATTAATCTTACAACTTCAAAGTTTGATTAAACACATATTTGTTTAGTTTATTAGCGCAGAGAAAAAAAGGTTAGAAAGGTATGACAATCTAAAAGTGTAAATACGGCTGTGCAACATTTAAATGCAGATTTGTCACTTTTGTCACTACCGATAATCATTGAGTCCTTTAAATTGTCTTTGAATGAACCCGCAGGTTTGACACTTACTAATTCCATATGATCGCACAAAGCCACAAACTTTTTGACACTACAGTACCTAATATTTGTTGGATAAATAATATAATCAGTATTTTTAATATTTATATACATTAAATTTTTACGAATAAAAAAGTAAATAAAGAGCTTAAATTTGAACTTAGTAGTATATGATTTGTTTTTGTTTATGCAATTATTTCAAATATATATATAATTATTAAATAATATAAAATAGTAAATAATCAAAATACAGTTATTACAAATAATACAAAATAAATCTAATATTATTTTTAAAGTTATGAATATTTATTCTGTTCTTCTTTTAAAGATTAAAGGTACTGGATGTGGACCTGAAGTTCCGCTAACTTCAGGTTCAATTTGTAATTTATCTTTATGAATACTATCTGCTGGTAAAGATACTTCATATTTTCTTACTGTAATGGCATATAAAAATTAGTTTAATAAAATTTTTAATAAAATAAATAAAATAAAAAAATTATTAGATCAAAAAAATAACTTACATAAAGCACATAACATTATCCTTTGTTCAATAAGCGAGAAATTAATTCCTAAACATCTATTTATGGAATAAAATTTTTTTTTTTAGATAAATTCGAAATTTCATATATCACAGTCAGCTCTCGATATAACGAACCCTCCGGTTTAGATTATAACGAAGAATTTAAAGAATTTAATTGGCTGATTCGTTATAACAAAGGATATTTGACGTATTTGATTGGTTAAATGTCACGTGTTGGGAAATTTCGTAGTTCGTTATATCGAGAATGACCGTATATATAATTATTATATTATATTCAACTTACAATCTGTTACCGCCACCAAAACCTAACCAAGAATAATGGTCATGTTTTTCATTCTCGAATCTTTCAGGAATAAATTTTTCAGGATCTTTCCAATTTCTTGATGAATGATGAATTCCATAAATGGATAATTCAATGGGTGTTTTTGCTGGAATTACATGATTACGGAATTTAATTTCTTGTGAATTAAGTCTTCGAGGTAATTGTGCGACCTATATTTAAAATTTTAAAGATAATTAATAAATGAAATTAAATTAAATGTTAAAAAAGTCATTTAATACATACTGGAGGATATAATCTCAAGTTTTCATTTATAACCATGTTCATATATTTTAATTCTTTTTGTTGCTCTACACTTGGTATTAAATTATCACCAAGAACACGTAATATTTCATCACGAACTTTTTTTTGCGTGTCCTTATTTTAATGAGAAAGTAAAGGTAATTAACTTAATTATATAGTAAAAAGAAAGAACATTTGCATGAAATTCTTAATTAATACCTTGTGAATGGCTAGAAGATATAAAATAGTTGTTAAAGCATTCGCGGCTAATTACATTATTGGGAGAATAAAGATTTTTTATATTAATAAAACTGCAATAAAATAAATAAAAACAACGTATAATTAAAGTTCTTACTAGTATCATGACCAGCTAACATAAAAATTGCAAGATCATGCTACAAATACAAAAAAATATTGATATTTAATAAAATTCCAAAGTTAGAAAAAAATCATATTTAAATAAATCATAATTCTTACTCGTAATTCTTCATTTGTCAAAGTTGGATTATCCGGGTCATTGCAAGCATATACCATATGCTCTAACAAGTCAGCAGAATTATTATTTATTTTCTTTTCTATTTCTCCCATTTTCATTGATTTACGTTTGCTTTCAACAATTTCATCATATAAACTATTAAGTTTTTCTATCTTCCTAAGTGCTTCGAAACGTGGAAGATAATCAAGGAATGAAAAGACAAAATATAATGGTTTGCTCAATTCTGCCATCACTTCATTATAGGTAGTGACATATACGTTATTTGGATCTTCGAGATTCTAGTTTTTAATTACCAATAAATGTTAATTATAAATTGATAGCAAAACATAAGTGTACCCTTAAGTAAATATATATATATATTCTTACGTTAAAGTCAAAGCCAAAAGCAGCTTTTCCAAGAACATCCAAGGCCAATCTATCAATTTTGCTTCTTAGTAATTAGCAACTTAAGAAATAGAAGTTTACACTATATCTTTCCTTACCTATGCATAAGACTTTTAACTTCTATTGGTTCATTGTCAATCTTTTCCATGACATTTAACAATTTCGTGGCAGATTCAACAAATACATGTACCGGTAAATTTCGAAAAGATGGATTTGCAATACGACTAAAAGATAAAAGGAACTTAATTATTTATATATCATAAATGCTATTCTTAATAATTAATGCAATTTGAACATACCGATGGCGTTTCCAAACCTACATAATAATTAATCTATCATTAGTTTCAGAAAAATAAGTCATGTGATTTATTAAAAAACCATACTCACGTCTCCGTTTGAGAGTACTACATTAGTACCATAATATTTAGTTAATAAAGACGTGGGAAATGACTCTTTGAGTAAGGCTTTAGGATACAAATCTAAAAATTATAAAGTTAAAATCTAGCCAATAAAAGAACTACAGTAAGTAATATCTTTAATAAAATTCCTTACCTGTTTTTGTCATTATGTCTTTTACTAGTCCCAAATCCGTTACCGTAATAGTCCATTGTCCATTGAACCAAAGCTATTTAAAAAAATTTATTTTTTTAGAAATTTTTGATGAAAATGAATATTTTTAAGGTATTATTACCTTCCCAATTCCTTCTTTCTCTAAAACATCACGCGTATCTTCCCAACGCTTATCTGGCCCAACTTTAGTAAATATTTCAATAAGAAGATCTAGGAAACTCAATGTCGGTATATTTTTAAGTCCTTCAGGTACTCTTGTTTTTTGATAAATCTTATAAGCTATAAAGGATAAAACTAAAATAACTACAATGTAATTCATTTTGTTAATTGATTGCAAAAAAAAGGAATATATATTTAAAATAGAAGGAAATAAGTTCGAAATATTTTTAACTGAGAGTTAACATTTTATTTTGGAGGCTTAAATATTACTTCGATAATCAAAATTACCGGACGTAATTTAACCGGCCCGTCGGTACGGCTAATTTAAACGGATAAACTTTCGGCAGTTACAAAATAAAACTTAATATAACAAGGAACCAATTGTACAAAATATTAGATAAAGTTTCAAAATTACAATTAGATAATAAGGTTAATAACCGATATTTATAGAAATTCCATTTAAATCGAAAAAAGAATTTTGGCCAATTACAGCCTGATAAATCGAAAAAAACAGATTTATGATTATAAATTGATAAATAAACATTTAGGTGATTCACGTGAAATATTTAGAGATTACCAAAACAAGAATGTTCCTAAAGAATATTATTATGACTCTGCATAACTTTATGAGGCGAACAAAATAATGTTCATTCAACTAATTCTAATTTAATACTATACATTTATTAAAAATTGCCACGTCTTTCGTGATAATAATAATTACTCCCTTGTATAAGTAAGCATGAGCAAATTAATTTCCGATTTTCCGGTAAACAAATTTCTATTTTTGATTTTATATATAGTATTTATACTTCTTATACTTCTTTAGCGACATTAGTATAAATAGATTCTTAAAACTATACCGTACAGTCGTGCGACAATTTTTATAATCATAAATATATGTCATTATTATTACGTTGCTCTGCCGTGAATTGCTACTGGATATAATCACAAATAATATATCGCAACTGCATCATATCAACTTGTACTTATCAAGTAACAGCCTTTTTTAAGAGTGATCAACAAATAATTAAAACAATTTTAACTTATCTAGACACAAATAAAAAGTGAAGGCGAATAAAAACGAATGAATAAAAAAAAACATAAATCATATGACTATAGTGTTGAGCACCGCGGAACGGGAAAATTATTTTTTAAATATTAAAACTATTAAATATAAAGTAACTTACATAAAGCCACACAGAGATATTCTTTGTTCAATAAGTGAGAAATTAAATCCTAAACATTTATTTATCAAAAAATAAATTTAATTTAATATATAATAATAAAATTAAATTTTTTTTTCACATAAAATAAACTTAACTTACAATCTATTACCGCCACCAAAACTTACTAACCAAGCATAATGATCATGTTTTCATTCTCGAATCTTTCAGGAAAGGATCTTCCCAATTCTTTGATGAATGATGGACTCCATAAACGAATAATACTATAAACGTTTTAGCTGGAATTACATGATTGCGGAATTTAATTTCTTGCGAATTAATTTAGCGATTGGAACCGGTTAAGGTTAACCGGTTAAATATGAAGATTGTTATATCAGATAATTTTTTAATTCAGAACTTCCGATATTCCTATATTGGCTAACGGCTAGCTAAAAAAAATTAACTTTTTATTGCTCAATTTTTTACGAAATTTTTTTTTAAACTATTTTTTTTTTTATTTTTTATACAACATGGATGATATTGACTATAGAGACATACTAAAAGAATCTCAATCTGAGTCATCAAGACAACAATCTTCTTTTTATAAAAGAAATTCAAAGTATTTAAGTTGCTAGCACTAATAAGGTAAATAAATATCATAATTAAATACTTGAAATATTATCTATAAAGTCTTTTTAGAGAAAATAGGTTAAGAACAACCAATCGTTTCGTTATTTCAATTTTATCATTTTTACTAGTATTTATATTTTACATTATTTATATAAATTATGTGTTTACAATTTATCAAATATTTATGAATAGTTAAAATGTGTTTTTATCATAAATGATGCATAATTTTAAGAGTGAAATTGCGATAGATATTTATCAAATATTCAAATGGGCAAAATATCTTTAACCGGTTATGATTATCCGGCTAAGGTTTTTTTGGACGGTTCCAATCCCTAAATTAAATCTTCGAGGTAATTGTGAAATCTAATGATATATTATAGATTTTAAAGACTGTTAATAAATTTAAAATTAAATATTAGAAAGTCTCTAAACGCATACCAGAGGATATAATCTCAGATTCTCATTTATAACCATGTTCATTAGTGTTGGTTGCTGTAAGTAATAATTATGACATTTCGGATTACAACCACATATGTCGTAAATATTACAACCTTACTATTTTGCGTAACCTAGTATATATCAAATATTGGTTTACAACCATTGAAATTAGGTTACAACTATGGTTGCAACCCGGTTGCAATATTACGGCAGCCAACCTTTATGTTCATATATTTTAATTCTTTTTGTTGTTCCACACTTGGCATCAAATAATCATCAAGAACACGTAATATTTCGTCGCGAACTTTTTTTTGCACATCCTTATTAATAAAAAAAAATTAACAAGGATAATTATATAATACATGAAACTTTGAAATTTTTAAACTCAATACCTTGTGAACGGCTAAAAGATATAAAATAGTTGTTAAAGCGTTCGCGGCTAATTTCATTATTGGAATAACAAAAATTGTTTGCATTAATAAATATAATAATGATAAATAAAACTAGCTGTCACCCGTTGCTTCGCATCGGAACAAATGAGTTTTTTTAAATAGAAAGATTTAGTATTATAATGTAATACTAAGTAAATTAAAGAAGTTTTTTGTTTATAATTAGGAATTAATATGGTAACAAAAAATATGTATTAAATTATATTTATAATATTAGAATGATATAAATAATAAATTATTTTTAGAATAATGTAGCTATTTATATTAATGATTTGTTGTTTGAGTGTAAAGTGAAATTCGGATTAATTAGGAATTGTGAAAAATAATTATCAATAAAATTGATTAATTTTTAGAAGTATTTTTGAAAAAACTTTAATATTATGAAAATACTACAAATATTTTTATAAATTTTATAATTATTTCTTATTATTTTATATTACGTCAATTTTAAACTTATAATTAACTTAGGAAAAATATTTGAACAATTAAATGTATTGGAAATCAGTTCATTTCATTTACTATTATTCTTTTGATACTCATTTTATTCGATAAATTATTAATTTAACTAAACCATTTGAATTAAAATTTTTATTCAAAAATCTGGTGATAATTTAGAGAATTTCGGATATGGATTTGGTTATAATAGTCTATTATTAAATCAACAATTTCTTTAATTAATTAATTATAAAATATTGTAAAAATATCAATTTTTTTTTGATTTTATGAATTTGGAAACCAACCTATTTATCCAGCGTTCAATTTAATTGAAAATCTTAGTCATCTTTCTACATGTTATTGATTTTTTTAAAAAAAATTGAAAGAAAAAAAAAATTAAAAATAAATTTGGGGGAAAGAAAAAGGATAAAGAAAGAATCGGTTCAAAAAAGGGAAATTTCCGAAAAAAAAAGGAATCTGAAAAAAAAATAAGTACCGAAAAAAATTCTGAAAAAAAAGGAAAATAATTCGAGAAAAAATATTTTTTAGTTTGGGAAAAAAAATTAAACCTAAACGGGAAAAGAATGAGAAAAAACAAATTTTTCGATTTGAAAAAAAATTAATAATCAAAAAAAAAATCCGATTAAGGTAAAATTTCATTAACTGAAATTGTATTAGTTACACGGATAAATAGAAGTTACACAATTCAAATTATTTATGCAGAGACTAATCCAAACGTCAGACAAATATTTTTAGTTATATAGTTTTTTTAGTTATAAAGATTTATAAAATTTATTATAGATTTAATAAACAATCTCACTAGTCTTGATCCAAACCAAAAAAAAAGAATAAACTATATTTTTTGGGTTAAAAAAAAATTCCAAAAATTTTGATAAATTCCGATTAAAAAAAATCCCCTAAAAAAATCCAATAAAAATAAAACAAAAAAAAAAGAATAAGAAAAAATTTTGGTTAAGTTAATCAAAAGAAACAATAATGATAAAAAGAGGGATAAAAGAAATTAATAAAAAAAAGACTAGTAAAAAGGTAGTTTCAGTTATTACGGTAAAAACAAATATAAAAAAAAATTATTATTATAGAAATGGGGTAACTGGAAATGTATTAGTTTAAAGATTGGTTATCGTAGTCAGTTAATTTTTTTATGATAAATACGAAATAGATCGAACGCAAGAATATCACACTTTTCAATGTTACACAATTCGAATTATTTATACAGGGTAATCTAAATATGAAAATTTTTTAATTAGATAGATAGACGTATAATTAGAGTTGACCAGCCAACATAAAAATTGCAAGATTATGCTATAAAATAGAATAGAATACTGATATTTAATAAAATTCTAAAGTTCATTTTATATAAATTATAATTCTTACTCGTAATTCTTCGCTTGTTAAAGTAGGATTTTCTGGGTCATTACAGGCTTGTATCATATGCTCTAATAAGTCAGCAGAATTATTATTTATCTTTTCATCTAACTCTCCTAATTTCATTGATTGACGTTTTTTTTCGACACGTCCATCATATAAATTACCCTGTAAAAAATCTGATCCGTGTTTTATCTTTCCATGTTTTTTCCGTGAATGTATCATTTTAATGGAATTTATAGCCTTAAATCATGGAAATTTTCATCTCGCTAACACGGATATCCGTGAATGTATCATTTTCACGGAATTTTTACGGAAGACACGGAGAAATAATGGAAATATTCGGATAAAAATTTTTTATAGGGTTATTAAGTTTTGTCATCTTCTTAAGTGCTTCAGGACGCGGAAGATATGAAAGGAATGGGATAACGAAATATAATGGATTTCCCAATTCTTTTAATACTTCATTATACTAAGTAGTTACATTTTTTGGACCTTCAAGATTCTAATTTCAACATTAATAAATAAAAATTAGCTTTATTTTAAAAAATGCACTTTTAAATGAATAATTATTTATAAATATAAAATTGATTATCATACGTTAAAATCAAACCAAAAGCAGCTCTACCAAGTACATCTAAAGTCAAACTATGCATGAAATTTTTGATCTCTATAGTAGGTTCACAACTTTTTCCATGAC